GGGGGAATCCATTTTGCATGGGAGGGAATCTCAGACTGTCTCATAGTGAAAAACAGAAGGGAGTGAAGGGAATGCCATGATGAACGAACGTACTCCTTTCCGAAAGGACTGTCGAACACGCGAGAATCGCGAAAGCGCTTGTTTCGTATGCTGCGATCCATTTGCGCTGCGAAGCATCACCAGTTCTGAACTTCAGAGACTTCTAGAAGTAACATCAGAAATTGGTGAAGACGTTTTCGAGAAGTGGGATGTTCTTCATTCAGGTGCCTAGAATTTGTAAGTATTATTATAGAATGTAGTGAGTCATTAAAGCGATGGACCGCAACGATTCGGTCTATTTGAGCTCAGCCCTCTCTGTCGCGAAGGTTTTCTTGCCGTCCTGAGAAATAGGGGAAACAAATCAGGTCAGTCAATTATTTCTAGTTTTCGATTTTGCAAAAGTCCCTGTGCCAAAAAAGTAGTATTGTTGCACCCAGTCAGTTGATGTGCGAGAGAGTGTCAACCAAGAGCCTCCATGACATGAACATCAACTTTTTGTTTCAGTTTCACACTTTTTGTTGGTTTCTTTGTCGCGCAAGCTACACGGTTACTGGCTAGAAAAGGCCTTTTCATATGTTTATCGTTGGTTTTCAATGCTCTCGCCAAAAAAAAAAACAAAATCCATAAAGCGATACGACATAAGAGAAACAAATAAAATCATCGATAATACGAAGACAACCATATAGCCAACTTCTCTTTTTTGAAGAGTTTAGGACTTTCTGGTTAGTTCTCAAACCTTACAATTTGTATAGGGAATACGTACGCTTCCCTAGAGGGCTGTTCTTCAGGGAAATCAAATCGCAATGATAAGTCAGCATAGTATTTGAAGCAAAACATTTTTACGACATCACAGAAAGCATTCATAGCAAAGGCTTAATATAGCCCACTATTTTTCACCTTTTCTTTAAAAACAACATCTTGGTGACTTTTAAGCAACGCAACCTATTCCTGTCGTTTTAGTGGTTCATCGAGAGGATGTTAGAATTTTCGGTTCCTTCAAGAAGATACTGTCTTACACTTACAGATCATGAGTACATTAGTCTGGACCGAATGGCAAGGGTGAGTGAGATATTGCTAGAAGCAAACAAGTGTCTACAATTTACCATTCTGTGGTCGAAAACTTAAAGCTGCTCCGTGCAACAACACAGCCATAAGGTTTGCAGATGTACGACAGAGGAGGGAGAGTGGTAAGCTTTTTGGCTCAATCCACTTAGCTGTTCCTCACTTCAACTTAGCAGTGTAAAGTTCTGGATAGAAGAGCTCGAAGGACGAAGCTCCCTGCATCGACCATCAATGTTTTTGGAATTCCCATGTTCAAAAGCACACAGTAATTTATGGAGTTTAGTGGGCAAGTAACTCGATGCTTCGTTCCCGCCAGGCTAGTCCGGTCGCGAACAACCCACCACCAAAGGGAAATTGGCCTCGGTGTTTTGCACGGTTGTTCGTGCAAAGTCGTTTCAAGAACCATGACTAAAATACTTAGCGGAGCAACCCAATCTCGACCATTTGTTCAGAGAATCAGAAAAGGAGAAAAGTAGAAAAAGAAACTGGAAATAAGGGAAAAATTTTTTATGGATTTCAACGTACGAGATCATCACAGGTCGTACTAAATTAAGTACAAAATTTGCAACTTAAGCTGAATGCTCAAACTAGACTATCCAAATGCTTTCTAAGCGAAATAAGGATACGACCGAAGTTTTTCGTGAAACTATCCAGGGATGTTGAAGACACCACATCCCTGGACCGAGTTAGAAGAGAGAGAGAAGGCATTAACATTTTCTTCAGCGGTGTACATGAATATGTTCAATTCCTCCCAACATCAATAAAATATGTAGCTGCAGACATATGCAATATGGAAGAATATGAATGCACGAGAATCGTCCTGTCAGATTGATGAATGAGAAAAATGGAAAAATGTATCTTGATCTCTAGTCCCTAAAATGGAGAGTCCCAAAGAGGCGCAAACAACCGGAGTTATCTTATCTGTTTTTGAATTGAATAGGAAAAATGAAGAAATCGTGAAGGGCTATATATGCATTGAAACGCAAGTGTGTCGAGCCTATTAATTCGATCTCTCGACCATTCGCTATGAGCTGCGACGGGGACGGCTGCACGTCGGCCAACGCTAGCGACCCGTGAGCTCCCTAGAGGCGTCGGACCACCGTCGCGAACACGATGGATGACTCCGTAGTGCCATCGTCGCAGCGTGATGCGCTCCATTCGAGGCACTCTTATCGCTTCGATGACTACGTAGAAGGGCAGATATCATCCTTTCGACTGAAGTATGATGCAGCTGTAATTAATTACATAAAGCCATAGTAATCTGGAGGGAAGTAGATGGAAGTTTCTGAATGCTGAGCCATAGATCGAGCGAATCAAGCTCAACGTTTACTATGCTGCATACCCGTGGTAAATTTTGGGAAGAAGTGGCCCCTTATTCATCCTGTGCAAGGAATTTTCCAACTTTCCAGCTACTGCTGAATTGCTCCCCTCCGGTTGTGAAGAAGTTGTTCAATGGTTACTCGAAAGGAAAAGCAGAATTTTGAAAGTCTTCTGGTCTGTTTGGCATCCCATATCGCTTTGATTTCCAGATAAGAGGAGATAAATCGACTTGCAGCCACACTGTGACCTATTTTATAATTTTTGTTCATTTTGAAGTTAATTTCTAGAAGTCTTGTGGCTAAAGATGAGTAAGTCGGCAATTTTGCTTTTTTTTATGTATATTGATATTATAGTAATTCATAATTTGGGAGTCTCAAAGAGAACAGATGTAGGGACGCTACCTTTCTACTTGGTTCCACTTTGAAGATTACTTATAGTGAATTTGAAGTAGGAAGACTTTGGACTCTGAACCCTGTGAAGTGGACCGAGCACGGAGGATGACGTGAGCAGGAACCGAGCTGTTCCATTCTACTGATTTCCTATTCATATAAAAGCTTTTCAGTGAGATTCTTTCACGAGTTAGAGTGCCCAAGAGATTCTACACAGTGCGTCCTTTGGATCCAAATTTACTCAATGTTTCTGGGATGCAATGGCTTCAATCGATGTAAACTACCACTATCTAAAGCCTCCCTCCATGGATTATAGAATGAGTGGGTTATGGTTACAAGTATTCATGTATCAGTGTTGTTATGGAGATACTGTAAATGCATCTCGACGCAATTCCTTTCTGGGTCACTTAGCAGCAGCCACAGAATCCTAGATTCTTAGCTAACACGCTTGCAGTAGGATTGCATTGTTGTGCACGTAGAATCTGGTAGACGACCCTCGCTGGAAAAGTAATGTATAACGTCTGAGATGGACGGGACCACCTTGCACGGGTTCCCACCACATAGGGGATCCTGTGTTACTCGATAAACGTCCTCTGAAAAACCTTTTTGAAATGTAGGTGGAGATGTATGCTCGGAGAAAGTCATGATCATCCCTCTTGGATGATGATCCGTATTTAGAATCAGTGTGATTGCTTCGTAAAAGGCAATCACATTATTAGAAGGCAATACAGGGCATAAAGTGAATGACGAATCTATTCGCGAATGAGTGAACAGCAATCTTTGCGACTGCTCGTGTGTGTTTATGGTATCTCGCCACACTCTCTATGTAGGTGTTCTCCATGATGGATCTCAATTTTCTGAGCCATTTTCAGTCGTTTTCTCCAGAAAGGAACTCACGAGTCAAACGTATCGGAATCGTATTAACGCTAAACACATACGATAAGACTATTCAATATTCAAGCTAACGACAATTTTCGAGCTTGTTCATTTATTATAAAAATTGAGCTCGCACACTCAATGGAGTCCCATACAAAGTCCTTTGAAGAGGAGGTTTTTCTTTCAACTCTGTCATCAACTTTACAGGAGGAAATTCGCGGGAAGCTTTGAGAGACTCCAGGATGAGCATCTTCCGTTGGAAATAATCACTGTTTCCAGAAGTGAATTCAGCTCTTTTTTTAAAGCCGGTGTTTGCAGAACGTTTATTTTTTTAGGGCTAGGAGTTACATTATATACATACGGCTCGGCAGACCGTCTGTAGAATCGCTGAATAATTTATAGAGGTGAGGTTGTTCGTAATGAATGCCTGAAAGATCGGTTCCTTTCGATAGCGTTGAGAAGACTGTGTCCTGCCAACTTTTCGAGCAACAAAAAAGTATATAGTCTGCCAAAAGTTCTATCCAGTACGATACGATTACAACTAATGTATTGTGACTGCCCTGCTGTACTGAAAGAAAGGAACTTCAGGGTCTTTAGTTTCTCATAGTTGACGTTGGCGGCTCTACACAATGAATATGTATAATCCTAGGCAAAAT